CCGAAAGAGCATTGTGGGAATCTTAAGGGGCACTTTGGGTTTTTTATAATAATCAGAGGTGCTACTGGCCTTTCACAGGCAGGAACCAGGGCTAATCAATAGCCCACAATATATGGGACAGTGTCACACAAAAAGAATGACCTCATGTCCCACACAGCTTTTAATGTCCTATCAGGCATTCACTTAAGAAAAAGAAAAAAAAATATATATATATAAAATTATTTGAATTATTTGAGCCCAGGCTCTATTTCCACTTTACAAAATATTCTTAGTACAGGTTAATATACACTTAACATTTAATCATCTAAATCAAAGGAACATTGTCCTTTGCTCTGTTCAGAATTCTATCAAAGGAAGATTACCATCTGGGGGAAAAAATTCATTGCTAGCAGCAATACCAGTTATTTGAGTAGCCGCATTTATATCAGATTACAGTCACAGCTGACGCAGTTACAGTAATTTTAGCCGTGTGTTTATATATATTTATTCAGCCTTCATCTCACAAGATCAAATAGGAAAAATAATTTTCTGAATGTTATCTAACTTCTCTTAAATAAAACTTACTCATTATAAGAAGATAACGGTAGAGTCAGATGCTTGTATCAAATCCTATTGAAAGGTCAATGAAAAAGAGGATTGGAAAGCGACCAGTGGATTTAACAGCATAGAGATCATCAGTGACCTTGAAAAGGACAATTTCAGTGGAGAAGTGGGGGCAAGAGTGTGTTTGAAGTTGGTTCGAAAGAGCAGGAGAGGCCAGGAATTGAGACACAAGTACAAACAATTTCCTTGAGGAGGTTCCCTGTAAAGGGGAGCAGAGCAAGAGGGTGAGGTGCAGAGCACTCATCCTGGTACCTCGCACGCAGAAAGGGCGCAGAAAATGGTGGCCAAAGAAGGACTTGATGTCTCTCGGGAGGTGCTCGGGAGGTGCTGGTGAGCTAAGAGCTAATGAAAGAAATGTAGGTTTGGGGCTGGGTAGGAAGGGCTTCTTGGAGTCTTGTGAGTCTTAAGGGAAATGATGGATTTAGGGGAGGAGGATGGAGGTGAGAGGGTGTTTCAGGCGTGAGCCAAGGCACCATATGGGGAGGAGTCGTCAGGGGGCTGCCAGCCAAGCCAGAAAGCTTTGAGGGGAGCAGCCAGGCTTGACTAGAGAGCCCTGGAGACACAGCTGACAGAAGACCTTGAATGCCAGACTGTGGCATTTATCTGGGGTCTGCTGAATCAGCAGGGAGCCGGAGATCTCGAGCCCTGAGGGACATAGCGGGAAAATCACATTAATTGTATTTCTCACACTACTGTGCTGTGTTTCGATTCTGAGTGTTGACGTTGGGCAGGTTACAACTCATGCCGCAGCCAAGCTAATGAGAAGCACGTGGTTTTTTTTGCTAATCCAACCTTCAGTTTCTTCCCTGAGCTAGAACCATCCTAGGAATAAAATTCTGGGGATTAAGGTTAACAGGAAATAGAAACTCACTAGGGGTTTCAGGAGAGGCAAGGAGAAGAGGTCCTCCTGAGTGACTGCATTTGATGCTGGCTTTAAAACGGACTGTTTCTGCAGAAAGCCAAGCTGGCTGTTAGCAGGCTCTCGTTTCTCAGACGGGACTCCATCATCACTAACAATTATTGTTATTAACAACACCTCTTCATGTCCCTAAATCAGGGTGAGAAAGCTGTGTCCTGGCTGGGTATTTTAGAAGTAGCATTCTTCATCTTGTCACACATGGTGCTGAGACTCTGAGCAGGCATGGCTGGCATGGGTTACGCAGGGACATGAGTAGGGAGGGTGGGTCTGAGAGGCAGGTGGCCCAGGGGCAAGCACCAGGCTTTGGCCCCAGCTGAACATGGATTTGAATCCCCATCTTTCACCTCCTGGCTATGTGACCTTTGACAAGTCCCTGTACCTCGATTACTTTGTCTGTCAAATAAGGATAACGCTTACTGTGAGGATTTGCTATTCACAGACAGTGTTGCATAAGAAGGTTTATTACTGCCATTCGTTTTTTTTTTTAATGCCATCCAGTTCTACTGAGTCAATTAATGTTAGAGAACCATGGGAGAGAAGCAGCAATACTTTTTGGCCAGAACATGACAGTTCCACCCAGTTAACCCTACTCAGCCCAGATTATAGTCCCCTTCGGCAGTCCTATTTTGTTCACGTGGTCCAGGTTATAAGGAAAGCTCTCACAGGACATTGCAGTCACTTCTGAATTCTTTAGATTATTAGGTTAACACTCAATATCCTTTTTTTTAAATTGAGGTATAGCTGATTTACAATGTTGTGTTAGTTTCTGGTGTATAGTATAGTGATTCAGCTATACATTTATATATATTCTTTTTCATTATAGATTATTACAAGATATTGAATATAGTTCCCTGTGCTATACAGTAGGACCTTTTTGTTTATCTATTTTATATATAGTAGTTTGTGTCTGCTGATCCCAAACTCCTAATTTATCCCTGCCCCACCCCTTTTCCCCTATGGTAACCATAAGTTTGTTTCCTATGTCTGTGAGTCTGTCTCTGTTTTGTAAATAAGTTCATTTGTGTTGTTTTTTAGATTCCACATATAAGTGACATCATATGGTATTTTTCTTTCTCTTTCTGGCTTACTTCATTTAGAATGACAATATCCAGGTCCTTCCATGTTGCTGCAAATGGCATTATTTTTTTCTTTTTATGGCTGAGTAGTATTCCATTGTATATATACCACAACTTCTTTATCCAGTCATCTGTCAGTGGACATTTAGGTTGCTTCCGTGACTGACTATTGTAAATAGCGCTGCTGTGAACATTGGGGTGCTTGTAACTTTTTAAGAGTTTTCTCTGAATATATGCCCAGGAGTGGGATTGCTGGATCATATGGCAACTCTATTTTTAGTTTTTTAAGGATTCTCCATACTGTTCTCTATAGTGGCTGCACCAAGTTACATTCCCACCAACAGTGTAGCAGGGTTCCCTTTTCTCCACACCCTCTCCAGCATTTATTATTTGTGGACTTTTTAATGATGGCCATTCTGACCCACGTGAGGTGACGCCTCATTATAGTTTTGATTTGTGTTGACATCCTTTCTGATCCTGGGGCTTTTCACATAGAGAGATTAGGCAGGTACATAGCTAGAGGGAAAGGGCAGGCAAAGAAAGTGCTTATAAACCAGTGACCCTGGGCTTGATTGGCAGCTCAGAGCTATAAGGAACTATATAGAACTATAGGGTCCTATTAGATCATCTCCTGCTGGTTGGGACGATGGAGCCACCAAATGTGTTTCCATGGGTGTTAGGGCCCTGCTTGCCCCACTCCACCAAGGGAAAGCTGCAGTTCCAGCCACATAGGGGCAGCCACAGAAATTCACCCTGGCCCATGCACGGGGTGGATCTGACCTGTCCACCTGGAAGGGAGGTTGAATTCCTCTTGGAGCGGAACTCTGAAAGCTGGCCGTGGGGATGGGGGGCCAGGGCTACTCTGGGCCTGAACAGAGAGTGACGGAGAGACACTGGGGCCTGATCTGAGGGTCCTTTGCTGCTCTGCTCCCCTAACTAGCCCCTCCTCCCTCCTGACTCCCATCAGCCAAAACAGCTGAATTCTGCCATTGAATGGAAACTGGGAGCTGGGGTCTGCCTGAACTTAAACCCTGACTCTTACACTTACTAGCTATGTGAACTTAGGAATTATTTAGCCTAAGTGTCAGTTTCCTCACTCTCAAAATAAGAATAATAATTAGCATTATTGTTAGCATAAATTAGGATTTCTTTCTGATAAAGATTTAATGAGGAAAAACTATAAAGCCTAACTCGACGTGTGTCACAGAGCAACTCTCAGCAAACATGAGCACCAAGGCACGTGAGAATGCGACGCTGGGCGATGACGGCATTTTTAGCAAATGCTTTCACAAGCATCACCATTTTCAGTTTTCACAACTAAGAAGAACCATCACTCTGTTTAATTAGGTGATCGAGGTTCAGATCAGCTATGTCACTTTCCAAGTTTATGTTATAAGGAAAATTAGGACTTCAACTGGATGGTCCAACTTCAAAAGCCAATTTTTTTTCATTGCAATATGCTGCCAGCATCAATGCTTAGAGAGAAGGAGGCAGGATCAGATGGGAGAGGGAGAGAGGGAGGGCACACAGAAAGGAAAAATGAAAGGGTGCCCAAATCCACACTTTCATGCGTGGAGTTAGGTGTTAAAGAGTGGAATTTCTGAGAATAGTATCTACAGTTACCCTTCAGTCACCCTTGAAAGTTCATGTATAGGAAACCATAAGTTTCCAGAATATAGAGACGGTCCAAGAATAAAAAGCATCCTTAAAAACTTTAGCTTGAATCAACGTTCTAAAGTTCAAGCAGTGACAATCACAGAGAGGCACCTAGAAACCTCATTCAGGGGCTGTTCGCTCTCCTTTCATGTGCAAGGTTAACAAGTTTGTCTTCCTGATTCATTTACTAGGTCATAGCTTAGAAGCATATTAATCAAAGAAAACATTGACATATCAACAGCAGATAAGAACTAGCTGGTAGCCTAGAGAAAAACCTCTTGACAAGCAAAACAAAACTTAAACAATTTTAACAGTGTGGGGTTGAGTGTAGATAATCGCAGTGTCCCTTCGTACCCCACCCCCTGCCTCGTGGTGATCCTTCTTATATGATAGCACAAGATAACTGATAAAAAGCTATATTCACCATACCGTATTAAAGGCAGCAGATATTTCAACATATTTCAGTGATATTCACGCCTAAAATCATTTTAAAAACTAGGGGGAGAAAGCCCTCCATTTTAATTCTGGCTTCCTGGACACTTTGATGGCAAATAAACTTAGGTTTTATTGTCACTAACAAGTAATTCATTTGCATAAACATTATTAAGCCCAGAGGACTATCAGAAAGGTCAGATCTCAAGGTCATGGCGCACCATTTCCTGGTGTAATGGAGTGAGCCACCAAAACGCAACTTGAGTGTCCTGTGGGACTTCTAGCCTGCGTGTATGTATGTGTCTCTGCTGCAGGAAAAGTCCCCTTGTCTCCCTTGGGAAAAGAGATGGAAACTCAGCAAGAGGAATGAAAGGTATGGTGCTGACTATAGTGCCAGGGTGGCAAACAAGCCTCTTCCTGGTGATGCTCACACTATGGAAGCAGGAGGAGTCAGGATGGATCCTTTGCGTTTTAGGAAGTTAAAAAGCTGGCAGCAGCCCAGGCTCGAGGGAGATGCTCATGGGAAGAGTATGAGACTCAGGGCTTGGCTGGGAGTAGGTTCAATCGCTCCTCCTGAGCCGGACCGCAGAGGAGACAGACAGCAGGGGTTTGGTAGGACTGAGCGGGGAGACAACGTCCCAGGGCCCTTGTGGGGAGAAATGGTGTCTGAGGTCGCACAGAGTGGCCTTGGCAGCTCAGAGTGGCCCCAGCCACGGGGTTGCTGGAGGAAAGAGGAGACGGGTCCTGGTGGATGAGGCAGGATCCATTTCCTGGCAGTCTGGCTGACTGGGGCTGGAGCCAGAAGTGAGTGACATGCCTGCTGCCAGAGAGTGTGAAACCATTTACGTGGACTTTTTTACATCTGCAGGAAACCAGGAAGAAGGGCCATGTGCTGTCCTGTCTGGGGTTCACATGAGCGAGTCACTGATTCTTACAGCCACTCCAAGGACATGAGTGATTTTGATGCCCCTGGGTCTGCTTTCAGAATGACCCCAGTAACCACAAATTGCTCTCTCCCTTCTCCTGATGGAGATTCAAGCAAGTTTCCCCTCTCAGAGGCACATCCAGGCCCAGAGCTGATGTTCAGTGTGACGTGCGCAAGGCCGGCGTGGTCCTCAGAGGCTGGCTCACCAGCTGGCTGAAGCATCGCAGCGCGGAATCTTGCAGACGCAGGCGGATGGTGGGAACCAAACCGCGTGGGAGGACTTGAGGTTCCCAGACGGCCTGGAAGTAGCAGCCCCTCTGCTGCTTCCCCCGCCTCATCAGCTTGAGGATCCTTAGCTATGTGGAAATAATGCCAACGAGAGCGGGCAGGTCCCTTAGTTAACAGTCATTACCACAGGGTATGGGTTCACCGGGGTGTGTCTAATGGCTCTGACCCTGGCTTAAATAGTTAGAGTTTTCCGTATGCATCTCTCTACGTCTGTCCTCCTCAGGAGAAGAGAAATCAAAGTCCTTTTCAGGTGGTTTGGGACCCTGTTGCAGTCCAGCAACGCTCTCTGATTTCTCACCAGCACTGAAGGCCCCTGACAGGCGTGGCTTTGCCAGGGACGAGGGCCACGCTCAGGGTCCTCCTGTGGGAGCGACCCCAGCCCGCGGAGGAGGCGCCTTCTAGACCGCGGACACCCTCTCCCACCCACACGTGCACACAGCGGCTTGGCTGGACCAGAGCCCCCATGCCTGAGAACACAGCAAAGTCCCCATCTGGGGGTGAGAACTGCCCCAACTCAAACGCCCTGCTCCCTTTAGAAAATGCGCTTCTCTTTAATAACTACTCTGGGGACTTCCATTTTTGGCAACGCAGCAGACTGATCTAATACCCCAATCCTTGCTCCGTAGGGAAAGACATGTTGGATAAAATAAATAAGACGTAGGAGAACAAGATTATTAATTTCCATCCAAGATCTAAATAAGAAACCCCAAATCCCCAAGTGGTAAAATATAAACTGTGACTCAGAGCTGGATGTCAGGCTGACGTGGGTCCTGTGGCAGGCGGCGGTGGTGAGGAGGCTGGGGGGCTGGACCCAGGTAGGAGCTTTACCAGCTGGGGTTTTCATGCCAGCAGCATGGACTTGGGCTCAGACATTGAGGGAACTAAAACACAGGCTTGTGCATAAAGGCTGGATTTGGAAATGTAAGAGAGATACTCAGTGTAAGGGAAATAAACTCCCTGCAGCTCAGAAAAGGGTAAGGGAGCTGCTCTGCTAGGAGCTCAGGATAGAAAACAAGGCAAAAGTGAGAATTGGAGGACTCTCTGAATTCACATCACTCAAGTTTAAAGGATGCAAGGATTTTTTAAACACTTTTTTATTGAGTTATAGTCATTTTACAATGTTGTGTCAAATTCCAGTGTAGAGCACAATTTTTCAGTTAGACATGAACATACATATATACATTGTAGCATTCTTTTTCGCTGTGAGCTACCACAAGATCTTGTATATATTTCCCTGTGCTATACAGTGTAATCTTGCTTATCTGTTCTACATTTTGAAATCCCAGTCTGTCCCTTCCCACCCCCCCGCCCCCTTGGCAACCACAAGTTTGTATTCTATGTCTATGAGTCTGTTTCTGTTTTGTATGTATTTTTGGGGGGGGTTCCACATATGAGCGATCTCATATGGTATTTTTCTTTCTCTTTCTGGCTTACTTCACTTGGAATGACATTCTCCAGGGACATCCATGTTGCTGCAAATGAGGATGCAAGGATCTTGAGCTGTGAAATTGACATAAAAGCTAGTTAGCCCTGGACCAGTGAGACTCGTGGGGTGCCCAGCAGAAGCAATGAGACTCCCAAAGAGAAAAGCAAGCCCAGTGGGAGGCGGGGTAGCGCCTGCCCAAGGAGGCTGTATCAGTTTGCTGGAGCTGCTGTAACAAAGTACCACAAACTGAGTGGCTTCAACAACAGAAATGTATTATCTTTCAGTTCTGGAGGTGAGGCGTACGAGGTCAAGGTGTCAGCGGGGCTGGTTCCTTCCGAGGCTCTGAGGGGGTGTCTGCTGCACGCCTCTCCCCGAGCTTCTGGTTGTTTACTGGCCATCTGAGGTGCTCCTTGCCTCGTCGAAGGATCGCCCGGGTCTCTGCCATCATTTTCATGTGGCAATCACTGTGTGTGTGTGTGTGTCCAAATTTCCTCTTTTTATGAGGACGCCAGTCTCACTGGATTAGGGGCCCACCCTACTCTAGCACAAACTTATATAATTACACCGGCAGTACTCTTATTTCCAAGTAAGGTCACATCCTGAGGTGCTGGAGGGAGGACTTCAACTTAGGAATTTGGGGGTGGGAGGTGGGCATAATCCAGCCCAAAACATATAATCCACAAAAAGGAGGGTGAGCTGATGCACATGGTGGGGGAGGAGTGCCCCAAGAATGTACCATAGAAAGTAATAGAAGAATCTGAAAAAGACAAGGCTTGTGAGCACTCTCAGTCTCAGTCCCCCAACCTCACAGGGAGGGAGCATCCTTCCCCTTACGTGCTGGTTATGAGGCTCAGACCAGATAACGTGCAGAGAGCTCCACAAACTATGATAACATGAGTGTTTATTTTTTATTATACTAATTAAGAACAATGACTCCCATCTATTGAGGGCTGTGCTAAATTCTATCTCGTTCAGTTCTTACCGTAACCCTGTGTGGTCAATGCCCTCACTTTACGGATAAGGAGTCTGAGGCTGAGAGGTTCTGTCAGTGGCCTGAAGTCACGTGGCTCATGAGCGGCAGAGCTGGAACTGGGTCCAAAGTGTGAGCCCTCACTTGTTCTGAACATTTCCTGGAATTAGGGCTCAGTTCTGGGCAGTGATGAGGCTGAGGAAGAGGCAAAGAAAATTCAGTGCCTCGCTGGGAAAAAGGTCCAGCTACTGAGGAGGAAAATCCAGTCTCGTGAGGAGAGTAGATGGAGGTTTATTTTAAAAGCAAGAAAGCATGGCGTTAGAGGGTGGTGAAAAACGAGACATAAAATGATGAATGAGTCCCTGCCCTGGAGGAGGCGGGGCGGGCACATCACAGCTGTGCAATGCGGCCTTGAGGGCAAGACGCCGCTGAACCTGGAGTGAGTGACTGAGGTCAGGGAGGCTGCAGGGGGCAGGTGGCTTTGACCTGACCTGGAATGTGCCAGGGTATGGCTCTGCTTTGAATCCCAACCTGGCTGCTTTCAAGTTGCATGACCTTGAACAAGTTAATTAATTCTCGAAACTTCTCTCTCTCTTTTTTTTTTTGCTAGTTCTTTTTTTTTACTATTTGTTTTTATTTGTAGTTTACTAGTTCATTTTT